CCCTTTCAGTAAAAAAGTAAATTATGCTAATACAAATATATTAGACAAGAGAGAGGTATAAAGTATGCCCTATCTTAACAAAACATCAGAGGTGAAATGTCTGATTGCTCAAGTTGTATAGGCTTTTCTTGTTACTTTAAGCAAACACCACAAAGGGTATCTCACATTGCAGTTCTGTGCTGGAATTGACTTTGTGTTGTGTCTCTCTCTTCCTGCTCCCTGTCCCCAAGATTCTTCCTTTAATCTTCCAACTACAACAATTAAAAAAAACATTCTAATAATGTAGTGACTATACAAGGAAAAATGCAGGAGATGTTATCAAATACATTTTTAAAAATCACCATGCCAATTTCTAAAATCTATTTAAGAAGAAAGCTTGCTCTAAATTTATTTCTTCAGTTAACAGCACGATTTAAAGCTATACGGTTTACTTAAAGCTACAGAGACAAGAGCCAGTGAATGAGATGTCTGTCACTCATTGCAATTATTTTCATGTAGCTATCTTTGCTTATTACTACATTAATTTTAAGAGTTTCTGTCTAAATGCCTATTTCTGTGATCAGAAAAATAAAAATCTTCAGTTGCTTGACATATTCTTTAGACAAACCAAAAGGGTCCAGAGGTACAATAAGGAAAAAGCTGACCAAAAGCCCCCCCCCTCCAAATTGTAAGGGAGCATAAGCAGCCTTCGATAAAGCTGGAAAGATGCACCTAGCCATAGACACCCAGATTAACTTAATTACATGTTAATGCTTAATTAGACAAATGTAAATTTTGTTTTGGATTAGCCATAGCCAATGTTTAATCCAGTCTTGGAACTCCACACAACCTGCTATTTTATTTCTCGAATTTGGTACACAAAAAATATTTGTTAAATGGGTGGCTGAATGTAAACTCAAAAGTCAACTTTAGTCTGATGAGAGGATTAGGGAAGTAACCTACCAACAAGGAAAGGTTTTGGATTATCCAAATCTCAACTCTGTCCCATTACTCTTTCATCTATTCCCCCCACTCTTTCAGCAAAACTTTACGAGGTACAGAATTCAAGAGCTAACTGCAGCTACAAAGATGCCAAGACCTGTTTCTGGCAATCTGGTGAAGTCTATGGACCACTTTTCAGAATAATGTTTCTTAACACATAAAGTTAAATAAATATGAATAAAAAGGAAAACAATTTATTGACAGCTATTAAAATGTTTAAATCTTCATGATATAGTGATATTATGTCTTTATTAACATTAAATAAAAATACCTAACATAGAGTTCATTTCTCCAGTAATGATGAATACAAGCCCAATTTTGAGATATCTGCAACTACAATAAAAAAATTACCTGTGCATTTATACTGGTAACAAAGTAGCTCATATTGTCAATACTACATTTTTCCTTGCCTACTTTCCAGATAGGAGGCAATACTTGTTTTAGCTACAGTTTAGTGAAAAGATGTAATTTTTCCTTCATCCCAGTTCAGGGACCCTGAGTCAGACCAATCATCTTTGGCTGTGACAAAAGTAAATAACTGGGAAACAAAGCTCTGTCAAAACTGTTTTAAGATATTAAGGAAGTTTATAAACTAATTTAACTAAAACTAACTCTTCAATTCCTTTGGCCTGTATTAAGAAAATCTGTACAATGTGACAGAAAAAAATTCCAACGAGAGGAAACTACAGAAATAAAGTAGATTCAACTTCAATCAAGGGCTTTTAAAATAAATGCTTTTGTAGGAATTTATGAATGTAATTTTTTGTTGAATGGAAAAGTAACTCCCTAAATGACCAAGACAGAGAAAAGAAACATACAGCAGCATAGGGCTGTACATATGAATGTTTATACCATTAAGCCCCAATTCCCACCAGTTAAATACTGTGAATAGTTTTGCAGAAACAGTAGGCACATCATTTATAAGGACTTCACAACTAGACTGCCATTAATCCCATGTTTACTCATTTGAAATGCACTCCTAGAAATCTGTTCACCAAAGCTGTAACAATTAAGGGGGATGGAGGGTGATTAATTTCCTAGTCAGTCATGTAGACAAAACAGAAACTTGTTTCTACAGATAAAACCAAGCAATATTTTCCCTACTGTAAGATGTTAATTTTAAACATTTTTAAAAGGACTTGCAGTGGGCACAGTTTCACAATCATAAAGTTTTAATGATTACAACTCCCTAGCATCTTACTATGGTGATAGACAGTGACTGCAATGGGGGTGGGGAAGTGGGGGTGAGGACTTGATAATATGGGTGAATGTGGAAACCACTATGTTGTCCAGGTGAAACCTATGTAAGATTGTTTGTCAATGATACTTTAATTAAAAAAAGTTTTAACAATTAAAAAAAGAATTTATTTCTTCCAAAAGAAAACTGAACATTCTGAGTCTACATAATATCTCAAAATATTACACTTTGACGTCAATATAATTATAGAAGAGGACATGTGATAAAAGGGAGGCAGAACCCAGGGATAAAGGATATGCTCTGAACACAAAGAATTTTATTTCTGCTCCGTTGCTTCAATCACAACATAATGACCAATCATTTAGCTGCCTATATCAATTTTGCTTCATCTGTGTGAACTAAAAAGTTGTATCTAAGTATTTTCACTGTTTGTTAAGCATATACACTGAGAAAAGCAATATACTAGGATCTGCAATATGCACAAAGGAAGACCTGATTCTGTTCTTACAGGACAGCAACAAAAGGCCATCATTCAGTCATATCTCCAAAAAACTCAGTTTTTCATAAACCAACACAACCTTATTCTTAATACAGTGTCTCTCCCACTTGTGACAAGTTAGGCACTCTCAGAGTCCAAGTTTTCCTTCTCTGAGCTATCTAAATAGCCCCCTAACTAGAATCTCTGTCCTTCCTATTCTCTGTCACCCAGATGTCTTTCTAAAGCACAGATCTCAACAAACTATCTCCCTTCTCAAAATCCTTCAATGGCTCATCTCTGCAATAAAGAAAACCCAAAATCATTAATGTGCTTAAGTCATTCTAAATTATTTGCTGTTCTTAAAACATTCCTCCACCCACTTGTATCTCTTCAAGTTGTTCCTTCTGCCCACAATGTTCCTGTCTAACCTAAAACTCATCTCCTTATTAAAGTCCTACATATCCTTCATAGCCCTAAATCATAAAAATTTCCAGCCCTAAGTAGGATCAGGCAGCTGACAGAAGAGGAAATATCCTCTATGATGGTTTAATACCCATGTAGATTTTCTAAGTTCATCTTGCCTTTGTGGCAGTTGTCTTTCTAACTATAACTATTCAGAAGCAAGCAACTGTTTCTTTTGATTATAAAAACAGAGAATAGCTCCTCAAACTCATCAGCTCTCTTCTGAGTTCAAGATTTCCAGCCTGCAATGCTAATAAGGGCCAGATGCCAAACCACTGCAGCTCCCACTAAAGGATGCCACCCTGAAAGCCTTGTACTTCTTCTTCAACTTCAACACTCACAGCAATCAGCTGGATTTTCAATAAACTTTGATCCAATGGAATTCGGTGGCATCCCTTTTAAATGAGGTAGATTTGGGAAAAATGACTAAAACTTGAGTATCTTAGACAACTAAACATAGAACATGATGAGATTTTTACAACTAGTTTATAGAGTCCATATAAATCTTGTCAATCATTTATCTCAACAATATACCAAATAATTCAAGAGAAGCTAAAGGTTTTCAACCATGTCACAGAGCTGCAAAGCTGCAAAACTAACTTTCCCAATTTCCTAAACTGTTTGTTTCATTATAATATGCTCCATCTTCCAAAATGCTTTAATTATATCTAGTTAGATAAAATGTTTTCATTATTATGAATTAGGAAAATAAGAGGTTTATAAGGAGCTGTTCATCAATTACATGATCATTTACTTTTCTTAATTCTAAGCAGACAATACTAACAAAAAATAACCTGGGCATCTTAATAGATAAAAGAATCTTTATTTTGTAAATTCAAAATATATACCACCCAAATAAATACCACCTATGCTATCTGGGATACATAAACCTATTCTTATAAATATAAATAACATCTATTATTATGAAATGGAAAATGCTCAAAGACTATTAAAATCTGAAGCAGTAATTAATAATAGCTAGCAATTATTAAAGGCATTACTACTTAACATATATTGGTATCAAGCTAGGTACTTTATATACTTTTTTTTCACTTTAATCTTCATAAAACTTTACAAAGCACAGTTCTTATAAAGGATGAGAAAGCTGAGGCTTAGAGCGCTTAAGTAACTTGCCCAAAATTATAAAAGCAATAAGCCATACCATCTACCTAAGATCTCTGATTTCAAAATCCATATACCTAACTTGTTTCCTGTTAAAATTACCTTTGACTTATCTTCATCTTTAGAATAAACTCCTTTGTAAAAAAGTTCCTAGCCAATGAAATCAGCTTACTCAGTCTTAGTGACTAGCAAAGTTACAAACTACATTTAAAGAAAAACTTTTCTACTTGAGTTTATAAATGTTAGCTACTGTCTTATGGTTAAAATTTGTTACAATGTGATCATAACTTGATTTAGTCATTGATAAGTGTGTCAGCAATACATCCCACCAATACATCTTTAATCAAACAGCTTTTATATGAATTTTCAACCAAAATAATAGAAATGTTATTATACACCCATGAAATTAAAAACTTTAATAGAGATAGATTTTTCAGTGCCACACGATTTATTTCACATACTAAAATTACCACTTGTCTTCCTTTTTGGCAATTTTAATACTGATCATCAGGTGGATGAAACAGTATTTGCAAATCATCACCTGACTGTCCTCAGTATCATCTATCTAGCTGTGGGCACAATGAGTGAATTCAAAGGTCACATGCTAATAAAAGTTTCTTGACTCATTATATACATAATCTGAGAGTATTTTCTCCTAAAAATACTACTGCGCTAATAAAAATCATTACCACTGATCGTCAGGAATTTTTGACAATTATTCAACAGCTCATCTATAACAATAAAAGGCCGCGGACCTACCTGTCACTGCTGGTACTAGTGCTGCTGCTGAGAGAATCGCTACTGGAGGAGCGACTCCTAGAACCACTGCCGCTAGGGGACCTGGTGGGTCTAGACGCTTGGCTAGCCAGCCTCTGTGGAGACTGATTCCTAGACTGGGATGAGTGTGGAGACCGACTCCTGCTGTGCTGGTAATTCCGCTCTGGCCTTCTGCCTCGTACCTCCCGGGGAATGTCATCCCTGTAGATATCCCTGTGTACCACACTGGGCAGTGTAAACTGCTCCCGAGCCCTAGGTTCGTATCGGGGGTCATGAGCATCAAAACGGTTTGGGCTTCGACTCCGAGAAGTATAATAGAGCCCATGCTGTAAAGTCCGCTCTCGAGGATCTCTATAGTAATCCTGATCGTAATGTCTTGTCCGATCAAATCCTCCCGTCCCCCGTTCATGGTGTCCATAGGCACTATGTTCATAAGCACGCTCCCTGTTATCTGAAGCCCTGCATTTAGGAGGGGGGAAAAATATTTAATAAATCAGAAAGGGTGAGCAAAACTAAAAGCAAGTCATGCAAACATTCACTTCAGCATTGTCTTTGTCTTTGCAACTGCTCATTTTCTAAACAACATTAACCTACTTATTAGGAAGCAGACACTAACAAGCTTAACATTTTACTTAACTCCAAAAATTGTATTCACAGCTGAGCAATCAATCAGTCTTTTAACTGTATATTGGGCTTTCATGACTAGTGTTTCAAGTCAATGGCTCTTTTTATTAGGGATTTTCTGGTTTATATGCAGAAATAAACACATGCCATCTCTTTTTCATTTTAAGTTTAATGGAACACGAAGAGACTGGCATTTCAATATCAAAATTTTCTGTTGGTTTATAATTAAAATAAGTACCAAAATTCTATTTACTTTGCAAATTTATTTCAGACAAAATTTCCATGATACATTTTAACATAGACATGAAAGCCCTTTTACAATGTATGTCCGAGCAGTAGGTGGGCATTTTCAAAGAAGTCCAGAATATTTCAAATGAAACTTTTTTTCTTTAACTTTGACTTCTTGGGTAATTATAATAACTACTAGATTATTACGTTGATATGCCCAAAAAAATCATTTAATAAAAATGGAATCTTAAAAACAAACAAAAAATACTTAGGATGTAAAAATATTGGGGTGCCATATGCTATTCTATGGTAAATTTAACTAATTAAAGAATAAAGTCATTTTTATTTCCCTATTCCACATAATTTTTAAAATTCCTATCCCATGATTCAGTTAGTTAGTGTATGTACTTATTGGTTACAGGAAATAAGTTCTTTTAGGTTTTAGCTATCCTCAAGTTGCCTATGATGAAATTAGGCAACTCTGGTAAAATACTTAAAAGTTACTATTAGCAATGGCTATATAACTTTAAAAAATACTTCCTTAGGACATGAACTGAACATTTTGTCAAGCTAAGAGTATGAAAATTGTTGCATGTACAATTACACACATGCAATTATGTGTTAATATTAAAAACCAATTCTAACCCTATAAAGAAATGTTAAGTTCTACACTTTTGTAGGAAACCAGAACTCACTTCTGGAGTTCCTAAGAGACCACCTCACTTGTATCTCAACTGAGGTTGAATTTCTTCTCAACCTTATCTTTGGATCTTTTATCAAAAGAGACTAATGAACCACAAAAGAAAGAATTAGAATCTCTCCAATGAATGACATCTGGCAAAAACTGTACAACTAATAAAAATGTTCCCAGTATATGCCTACGAGATTCCAAATCTCTCCACTTATCTTCATTTTCACTCACCATTTCACTTAGTAGCGACCACACTTTTCTAGGTTGTTTTTGCTTTTTGCTGCTATGATAAAAAGCAACTAGCGTGGCCAAAAATTCAATTAATATCTTTCCTACTTAAATGTATTAAATGACTTTCTCCTTTTTTATTCACTACATTTCTGGAATTTGAATACATATTTCCATGTCTAACAAACAAGGTTTCCTTTGAGGCTCAAGAGAAATTTCATAAATAATTCAATTACCTATCAAATGTTAATCAGTGAAAGCTGTTATTAATGATATAACAGAAGCAATAGGCAATAGTTCTAGGAGAATTACTGCTGCAGCTGATATTTTACAAATAGCAAACAAAGTTCTTATCCATTAGGAAGACACAGAAGGCAGGCACAAGAGCTAGCAGAGATGAAATCTAATAGCTATTCTTTGATTGATCTATTAGTACTAAATACTTCTAGAGTTAGTGGGAAAAAAAAGAGTTTGACTTGGGTTAGGAGAGGGGCTAATATACACAGGTCAGGACATACCAACCTTTTCCAAGTGTGGAAACACGACCTATAATCCCAATTAAATCTAGGGAGAGAATTGTGAACATAACTTCCCCAAATTTTGGCCCCTCTTACGGGGGTAATCCACCTTCTTAATGGGCAAGGGTGTCAAATGATACTTAGATGAACCACAAGGAAAAAAATCTTAGTGACCAGACAAAATAATTCCACCGGAAGCAAGTAGTCCCAGATAAACTGTAACTCTCAAACCCCCAGACTTCTTTCTTGAGATAGTAGGCAATTATAAATTGATCCACATGCATAAAAACTTCCAGCCCTAAGTATGAATCAAGGCAGCAGACAGAAGAGGAAATATCCTCTATGATTCCACCAAATGAGGAAGGCACAGTTGCTCGCCAATAGGTCACCTTTGTAGCCATCCAGCATAGTCAATTTTGATTGCTGTATCCACAACTGATCGTCACCTTGTATTCAAAACTAAAGTACCTTTAATTGGACAGCAACCTGCTTAAGAAATGAAATAGTAATCCTCCTCCCTTGGGCTAATGGAATCTTGACTGCATTGACATTCCATACATTCCAGCAATTAAGAAAGAATGGATATATTCCAGGATTTAGGAACGTTCATCATCTCAATTTTTCCCCATTCCATCAAGAAGTATAATTCCAACATGAAAACTGTGTAGATCCAAACTGGAAAAATCAAACATTGCCTTCACTCTTCTTCATCCAAGTATACATTTCCAGGTTAAAGTATTGTTTGTAGAATCCAAGCGGTTGAATCATATGATCTGCTAGGTTTGTTTTTTTTTTGACAATCCAATTCATTTGTACACTTCAGGTAGTGAAAACTGAGAAGTAGATATTAACTTCTAAAAGAATCTGTAGGCTCTAATATTCCATAAATATTCCATATAGTACAACCACACAAGCTGTAGCCAAGTAGCTCCATCAGGTAGAAGGGATATATCCAAGTAAGGCCTTAACATTATCCAAAAGTAGGAATAATTAACTCTAGAAGACAGGTAACTCCAAAAATGATGCTGCCATACAAAATCTTCCACCACTTTATATGTCAGGAGTAGATATCCAACCAGCTGCAGGAAATATCCTCTACGATTCCATAAGATACAAGCCACTGGGATAGAAATCACTTCTGTTTCCAACCCAAAACAGGAAACATTGAGAATGCCCAAAACTTTAAATCCATCTGGGGACCCTAAATATGAGTTTCTGTTTCTCACCATATCAAATATAAAATACCTGCCTACAGAAACCTTGGAACTTACCCATCAAGTCTCCGCTCATAACGTCCTTCTCGTGCATGAAGTGATGGTGGAGGACCATAAGCAGGCCCTCCACCACCTCCTCTGAACCCAGAAACCTCTCTACTACGAGATGCTATGGAAACTGTATCATCCAATCCCCGAGCAGCACTCGGAATGGTGCCTGGTTCATTATAATCCGTGCGTAGGTCTCTATCTCCCATTTTGTTGACAGAGTTATGAGCTTTCTGCGCACTTTTGATGTCCACAAAATCCACAAAGGCAGCCACTCCTCCTTCAGATCCCCTCTTGGGGAGAATTTTGACACTTTCCACACGGCCATATCTGGAAGAAATAAAGTCAACATTATTGTTGCATAGCAATAATTTTCCAAAAATAGTTTTTAAAAATTTGTTTTTAATTTTTAGACAATTTATGTTATGTATGTGGGGGGGGGATGCAAAGTGACATTTAAAATGGCTTTTACATTCATAGTTTTCTCCCTTGGGACAAATATTTTTAACATTTAAAACAAATGTTTTAACGACATTATACTGCTCTCTTTCTTAAGGATATTTACTAAAATACCTTTCACCTTTCTAGAACACTTAGCTGAAATGAACCTCTCAGAAGTTTTTAGGAATTTTTATATTCTAAACAGGATATTGAACCTAAGACTGCTCAAAGTAACTTAGAAATCTTCAAAGATTTTTATTAAAGTAAAAACTATAACTAAAAATAGTTATTATACATATTTCACTTTACTTCATTATGTAAAAATGTACTGCAAAAAGAATTTCAAACACTTCTTGTATGAAGACAAAATTAATTCAAGCATTTTGTGCCCACTTATGACAGTCTAATTTTTAATGTAATTTTTGCTTTTTACTCTTCCAGATTAAGAGAAAATTAAAATTTCTAATTTAGGTATAACTAATATAACTTTTTACTGAAATTAACCAATTTGAGAAAATCTTCTGATAGACCATATGATCCTTTTTATTTTTTGGAATAAAAATATTTTTTTATAATGCCTGTAAAGAAAAACTTAAGGGCATCTTTTATTTTTTGAAGCATATATGTAAGAAATATAATTATTTGGAACAAAAAAATTCATGAAAATTCTACAAATTTCATTAGGAACTAATTACTGTATGAACATGTTATTTGGCATTTTAAAAGAAAGGCAGGCACAGCATTTTTAAATATAGCCCTCTTAGTTGCTGACAACCCAACATCATAATTTTACACTTCCCCTTAAGCTGACATACGAAGAAGCAGAATTTCTTTTAAATCCTCTAGCATGATTCGAGTTACCACCTCTCACAAGGGAAACATGATCCTGAAGTTCAGTTTAATCATACAACTGAAGCAGAAGTAACAAAATTATGTGGTGTAAATGAGTTGATGAAAGGAATCTTTTTAATTTGGAAAAAACTGATAGAAGTTGTAGTAGTTTCTTTCCATACAAACATAAAAAATACCTTCCAATATTATCTGACAATGGACTTCTATTAAAAAATCTTACAACTCAACCCTTTTTTTAATAGGGAAAAACATTTCACCAAATAAGATAAACACACAGCAGATAAACACAGGAAAAGACACTCAAAATCATTAGTCATTAGGGAAATCAAAACCACGAGATACCACCTCACACTCACTAAGCATGATGATTATTTAAAGAAAAAAAAAAAAAGAACATGAGTTGGCAAGGATGTGGACAAATTTGAAACCTGGAGCATAGTTAGGAGAACTATAAAAAAATGTAGCTGCTGTGGGAAAGTTTGGCGTTTTCTCAAAAAGTTAGGCACAGAATTACCATATGGCCCAGCAATTGCACTCCTAGGTATATACCCAAAATAACTGAAAAACTGGGGCTCAAATAGGTATGTGTACACCAGTGTTCACTGCAGCATTATTCACAATTGCCAGAAGATGGAAACAACCCAGTGTCTATCAATGGACGGATAAACAAAATGTGGTATATACATATAATGCAATATTACATTAAGGCATAAAAAGAAATGAAGTTTTAATACATGCCACAACATGGATAAATCTCAAATATCATCATACTAAATAAAATAAGCCATACACAAAAGGACAAACAGTTTATAGTTCCACTTATACACAGTATCTAGGACAGGCAAACTCACAGAGACAGAAAGTAAAGTAGAGGTAATCTGGGCTCGGGGGTAGAAACGGGGAGTTACTACTTAATGGGTACAGAGTTTCCATATGGAATGAAAAAAATTTAGAAACAGATAGTGGTGATATCTACATAATACTATGAATGTACTCAATGCCACTATATTGTACATTTTTAAATGATTAAAATAATGAATTTTATATTACACATATTTTACTACTGCACACACAAAGCTTACCACTAACAGGGGGAAGCAGATGCCAACTCCACATCTAGAGAAGTCAGCAGCCAGAGAATAATACAGGGAAAACAAATGCTTAGGCTTAAATCCTGAATAATAAAGAGCTAAATGCAATTTTGAAAGAACTATTTAATGTACAGATTATGCACACAGGACAAAGTCAAATTGCACTCCTTCCTTAAAAGGGTAGGCTCACTATCCCTATCAGTATTTTGTAAGGAGAGAACATTGTGGAATCAAAGCACAAATTTATCTCCAAATTTAACAAAGGAGAAGTTGATGAAGCATTATAAATCTGCACTACTCTTCTACACTTAGAAGACTGGAAACTCTACTAAACTGGTTTCTGTTTGACCAAAAATCTTCAACATCAAAAAAAATTAAAATGACAAGAACTACCAAGTGTTGGTGAGAATGTGGAGAAAAGGAAACACTCATGCACTGCTGACTGGAATATGAATTGGTTCAGCCACTGTGGAAAACAATACAGAGGTTCCTTAAAAAGCTATAAAAAGAAATACCATATGATCCAACAATTCTCCTGGGAATTTACCTGAAGAAAACAAAATCACTAATTTGAAAAATATATGTACACCTGTGTTCACTGCAGCATTATTTACAACAGCCAAGATATGGAAGCAACTCATCAACAGATGAATGGGTAAAGAAGATGTAGTACATATACACAATGCAATATATAACTCAGCCATAAAAGAGAAGATCTTGCCATTTGCCACAATGTGGATGTACCTAGAGGTTTTCATGGTAAGCGAAGTCAGTCAGAAAAATACCATATGATTATATGTGAAACCTAAAAAAAAAAAAACAAAGAAGAAATAGACCCATAAATACTAACAGACTGCTGGGTTGCCAGAGGGAGGCGGGGTGATAGGATGGGTGAAATAGGTGAAGGATTAAAGAGGTACAAAGTTCAAATTATAAAACAAATTAGTCATAGGAATGGAAGTACAAAATAGAAAATAGAACCACTAATACTGTAATATCTTGTTATGGTAACACAGTAACTATAACTACACTTACCATAGTGAGCATTTAGTAATGTATATAATTAATAAGTCACTATGTTGTACATCTGAAACCAATATAGTATGTGTATAAACTAATTCCAATAAAATACCAAAAACCAAAAAAAATTAAATTGATTAACATACGATGTATTCTTCTAAGTTTCTGAGAATTTAAAAATTATCCAATATTAACGCCAGGTGTGCTGACATGTTTAACATCCTTTCAACATCTACAATTTATGTAATAATAAGCACTGACCATCCTTAGCAGGTTCTTAAAGATTTCAGTGCGTTAATGGGCATCAGATTTTTCAGCTGAGGCAAATGTGATATAGCAGAGGACAAAGCATAAGAGTGTAAGAAAAGAGACTAGGCTTCTGATCCTGACTCAATTATTAATTATATAGTTTCTGACAGACACTGTCCTAGGCATTTGATGCAAGTCAGGGAATGACATAAAGATCCCCAGTCTCATGAAATTTATTTACAATTTTCAGTTCCCTAATGGGTGAAAAGTAGATTTCTCATATTCTAAACTGTTTTCATCAATTCCACAAGCAACTCATTCCATAATTTCCAAAGCAACACCAATTACATAAAGCTAAAACTCACTGGTATGCTAAAACCCAATGAATTCTCTCAGCAGTCCTTCTCTCCAGAAGGCACTGCATTCAACCCTTATTGGCTGGGTTGTCAGTAAGAATGCAATAATTAATTTTAATTCTAATGTTTGCAACTGACCCTACTAATAAGCAATGGCAACACTAGCCATATACTTCATTTTCACACAAGCCCACCTACTACAAAAAGTAATCCTCCCCAAGTCATTCTTGAAACATGACAATAGGTTCACTCCACTGATAATTCGTTCAATTCTGAATCAAAGTCCTTCGCCCAGTGAACTCCCACAGTTAAAAGATCACTTCTGAGTCTTTAATGATCACTAATATTACTACTCTATTTCCAGGTAAAGAGATCTCTTCTAGAAATTCAGATGGCCAACAAACACATGAAAAGATGCTCCACATCACTAATCATCAGGGAAATGCAAATTAAAACCACAATATTACCTCACACCAGTAAGGATGGCCAGCATCGAAAAGACTAAGAACAACAAATGCCGGCGAGGATATGGGGAAAGGGGAACCCTCCTACACTGCTGGTGGGAATGTAAGCTAGTTCAACCATTGTGGAAAGCAATATGGAGGTTCCTCAAAAAAACTAAAAATAGAAATACCATTTGACCCGGGAGTTCCACTCCTTGGAATTTACCCAAAGAATACAACTTCTCAGACTCATATGCACCCCAATGTTTATTGCAGCACTATTTACAATAGCCAAGATATGGAAGCAACCTAAGTGTCCATCAGTAGATGAATGGATAAAGAAGAGGTGGTACATATACACAATGGAACACTATTCAGCCATAAGAAAGAAACAAATCCTACCATTTGCAACAACACGGATGGAGCTGGAGGATATTATGCTCAGTGAAATAAGCCAGGCAGAGAAAGACAAGTGCCAAATGATTTCCCTCATTTGTGGAGTATAACAACGAAGCAAAACTGAAGGAACAAAATAGCAGCAGACTCAAAGACTCCAAGAAGGGACTAGTGGTTACCAAAGGGGAGGGGTGTGGGAAGGCAGGTGGGGAGGGAGGGAGATGGGGATTGAGGGGCATTATGTTCCGTACACATGGTGTGGGAGGTCACAGGGAAAACAGTGTAGCACAGAGAAGGCAAACAGTGAATCTGTGGCATCTTGCTACACTAATGGACAGTGACTGCAATGGAGTATGGGTGGGGAGTTGATAATATACGTAAATGTAGTAACCTCATTGTTTTTTCATGTGAAACCTTCATAAGAGTGTATCGATAATACCTTAATTAAAAATTTTAAAAAAGAGAGAGATCTCTTCTAAAGT